TAATAGAGAGGTTGAGGCGCACGTTTTAAACGTGAAAACGTGTACGTGTGACGTTCGGCGCCGCTTTCCTGTAAGCCTAGAAGTTTGACGATGGTGTTTGGAATGTCGAGCGTGATTCCACCGACTATCCAAACACCATCGTCAAACTTTTAGGCTTATGGGAAAGCGGCACCGAACGTCACACGTACACGTTTACACGTTTAAAACGTGCGCCTCAACCTCTCTAGTAATTCTAAGGAAAGCTGAATGAATGTATGATGCGTCTGGTATGTAAAAAAGTAACTTTTAATTTATAAATGCAAATTCTGTTAAATTTAATTATAAAGATGTAAAATTAAACTGTATGTACAGAAATTGATCATTTATCCTAATCTTAATAAACTGAGAAAACAGACCTATATTTTCCGTAATAATAATATCACATACAATAATATGCAATCTCAATGCAGCAGTCATTCCCCAGTATTACATCATATCATAGAATATACAATCATACTATACAATATACAATTATAATATTCTCAAGTTATTATGAGATGATCACTCACAACATGATTGGATAACATTGGAGTATGTTTCAATACCGCATTAATTCAAAAAACATTGGTCTATTTGGCTCAATTTGATGAATGATAATAGCATTTATTTCAATACTGTAATTATAGTAAAGTATTTATTTACTTAGCAAATGCTGTATTACAAAGCACAATTATTATTAGCAAATTCAATTAGTTGTGTAATTTCAGGGCCATTAAAATATTAAATTTGGTTACTGAATCTAAGTAGCCACAAATACTGCATGATAGAAATCTGTTAAAAGTTGAAGAGAATACATGAAGGGACTATTCAAATATACATGAAGGACCAAATGCACAGAAACTAAAAATATAACACTCCTAATTTTTAGACATTCATTCATTGTTCAAAAAATTCATTACCTGAAAAATGACTTTACACTTATATTCAGGTGATAGAGATGTGCTGTTTAGAATTACATTATGCAATTTTGAAGTTGTAGAATAACAAGCTGATTTCACCAAATTTTAATTATTTTTTTAATCATCATAAAGCATTCAAGAAATTTTATAACATGAATAAAATTTATGCTAATTTTATTACTGATATGGAAATTTTTTTCACAAAACATTAAATAAACTTCAGTTTTAAAAGAACACAGATGTATTTTTAAATGAATCTAATCTCACAAATATAATCAAACACCAAACACTTGCTGAGCTTATTATTAATTTACCATTCAAACGCTTTCAGCCTACTTCTAATAGGCCATCCTCAAGAAATTACTGTTCTACTATCAAATACAAAGCTTTCGAACAATTTTTAAATTTAAAATTTTAACATATTTTTAAAATTCAAAACATAAAATACTAAATATTTAACCAAAAAATAATATATTATATACAATGTAAAAATAAACCTATATAACATATAATATACATTACACCAGTTAAAATACAATTGCCACAAGTTTAAGGGTTTTTAATTCCCATTTGTTTTTCTATCACGTATTTCCATGCTGTTGGAAGAGCATTGGCGTCCTTGGCGTTTAATGCCTTAAGTTCTTTACCCGAGTTAACTCAGGCAGGTTACATAGCCTTACATAAAACTCAGTCCTTTCGGCCCCCCCAAAAATTTTTT